TGGAAGGACCATTCCTGCTTCGATACATATTTTAACCCTTTTTGTTTCAGTGTGCCTTAAGCTGCACAAAAGGCAGGGTAGCCACACTGAGAGCCAGCACGGTGGTTAGGGCAACTTTCCCCAACCTTGTGGCCTCCAGATACATTTGGACCACAACACCCGGAATTCCCAATCCATGGCCCTGCTGGATGGGAATTCTGGGAGCTGCAGCCCAAATGCCTCCGAAGGTCACCCTGTTGGAGAGAGTATTGGTCTTGGACAGGGCCGTCTTAACAGCGTTATGAGCCCTGGGCAAAGCAGTGTACTGGGGCGCCTACGACAACTACAACTACTGTTAATTTTGGAAGTTTTCCAATTTTCCAAGGGTTAACATACACAGATTAGTATGGGGCCCACGGGCAAGTGCCCATCAGGCCCATGCGTTAAGACAGTCCTGGCGTCGGATGGCAGAGACCTGGGTCCAAGTTTCTGCTCAGCCATGCAACTCAAGATGACTTTAGGCCAGGCACTAGCCGTAACCTAGCTTGCAGGGCTAAGGATAAAATGGTGAGGGGAAGAACCTTGTAAGCTGTCTTGCATTCCTTGCAGGAAGTAGAAAGTTGGGTTATTGATGTGATGATGAAGGTGGTGGTGGTGGTGATGATGATGATGATGCTTTATACTTTTGAAGCAGTGTTAGCAGAAGGAAGCTTACCTACAGCAGTTTGCTAACAGATTAAGACTACTTGACTGATTCATTAGGTTGTTGATCTGAGCAACTGGCAACTTAAGGAAATAAATCCTTAAGGGTTTTCTGCAGGGTGCTTTGAGCAAGAGCATTGTTTCCAGCTGGGGTTATGCAAGTATGGAACTTCCTTTGGGATTTTAGAACTGTTGTCTCCAGAGAGGCATGTCTCCAGCTCTTCCATGGTTAATAGTAATGATTTTTGGGTGATTTTAGTGCATAACTGCTAGAAGACATCCTTGGGCAGCTCAGACCTTTCACTTTCCACGCATTCCTCCTCTGAACCTTACAGAACAAGAGGGTGTTGCAACTGGAAAGAAGGGAGGGTATGTTGAGTTTTGTGGTACAGCAACAGCTGCAGATTTTGCAGTGGATGGGCATATTCTGAGTTCCACAGCTTCTGTGCACTTGTGGATCATTTCCCCCCTTCCTTTTCAGTCATACACAAACACAAACCTTACTAGAAAACACACTAAAAATGGCTTTGGAGGCACAGGCACACATTTGTCCACTTGTGCTCTCTCTCCAGCCTCTCCTGTGAGGCAGTTTTTGCTATGCTCTCCTCTGTAAAAATGTGAGAGAAGTTATGGGCCAATGGAAGTTAGGCAAGTCTTGGCTGCATTTTTGCTTCCCTTTCTGCAGGACCCCACTGCCCACTGTCCTTCCAGCAGATGGTATAATGAAAGAAGCCTGAAAATCTGCAAAACACAAATGAAAAGGATTAAGAAAAATCCACCCATCCTACTAGTGGAATCTACTTTTCTTTTTTGCCAGAACCTTGAAATTCCCAACCAAAGCATGCTGCAAAGGCATGCACTTAGAACGAAAGAATTCTGAGTTCAGGAACTGGTTTGTACAGCTGGTCTGAGCTCAATGTCTTTCCACTCCTGGATATGCAAACCTCCCTTTCTTTCATTAGTATAATTTGAAGTATAGGGAAAGACATTGCTGTTCAACGAAGAATCAGAAATCTACTACACTCTTGGAATGTGCTAGTAGATTTGACCTGCTGCCAACCCCTGCTTGGGCCGTGTTGTACCACATGCTAGTTGTGTTGCAAACACAGGCAAATTCTTTCATCAGCAACTTGCTCCCAGTTCAACACACTGGGACAGAAGGCAGCAGGCCAACAGAGCGGAGGAGTTCTAATAAAACTTTTAAATCAACATCCTCACACACAATTGGGGCTGTGTTCACTGCAGGGAACTGGGCATTCTGCTTGCAGAGGCAATGTAATGCTCCTTTGGCACAGAGAACTCTAGCTTCCAGCCATTTAAGAGGCAGGAATTCAAAGTATTAGAAATAGGGAGGTCTACCTGAGAAAAAGCAGCTTTGCTGATGCAGTGACACCTGGGCCTCCCTTTCAAAAGGGCCACTTTCATGGAAATGGACTGTTTTCAGCCCTGCCACATACCCAAGACCTTTCTGCATTGATGAATCCTCAGAAGAGCATCTTCTACCTAGTGTGTTAACACAAAAAGGTACAAAATAATCCTTCACTCACAAAAGGAAGGCTTGCCTTGAATCTATTTCATGAAACTATGATTTCTGGAACTGGGTGACACCTTTCATCCTCCGCAATCAAAGCAATGAGATGTATCAATTTCTGCAATCAATTTTATAAGATACATGAGTGGTCAGATTTCAGAAGTGTGAATCTCATTTTTACCAAGAACCGTGGGATCCACTACCTGAGCCAAGTGCAAAAGGCATGCCCTTCAGTTTACAGAACCGTGAGCCCATGAATTTGAGTTCCAGAACTGAATAGAGCTCATTGTTCTTCCACACACAAGAGCCCATCCGAGTTACCCCAACTTTCTCAGGGTGCGAGTGGGGAAATATGCTGCTGCTCTTGTTAAACAGCTGGGAGCTAGATAACTTGGCCTGTTCATCCCCCAAAAATTAACCACAGGAAGATGTCTCTTCCATCTACCACCCTAATGTATACAACAGAGATGCAGCTTCAGCATGGGCAAGGAAAGGGATAGGGCTTTTTTTTCCTGGCCAGGGTCCCAAGGACAGCACCCTGGTTCTCAGGGCGATAATCCCCAGCTGCTGCTGCAGGAAGGCAAGCTGAGTGGCGTGGCACCCCCTGCCTCATTTCCCCTTTCCCTGCCAGGGAGAGAGGGGAGCCAGGTGAGAGGTCTCCCCTGCCTTCCTGTTGCCTAGCAGAGCCGGTGGTCTCCTGAGGGCTGGATGAGGAGGGGACGCACACTTCCCAGGGCGGCATGTCCTTTCCTGCACCTGCCCCAGTGCCCCTCCTCCTTTTCAGCCCTGTGCTGTGCAGGGCAGGGCAGGCAGCAATGGGACCGGGGGCTGCCTGTGCCACCTTCAGGGGTGCGCAGCTGGATCTCCTGCCGCCGCTGCCGCTGGAGCATCGATGCCGGTGGGTCCGCCTTTGAGGAAGGCAAACCGAGTGGCTCAGCGTGCCCCCGTTCCTCCTCCTCCCTCCCCACCAGGGCAACTGGCTGGGGTGCAGAGTGGACAAGCAGAGGACAGCTCCCCTCAGTTCTTTGGGCTCCAGCAGTATTTTCCGGGATAAGGCAGGAGGACCAGGAGGGAGGAGAGGGGGCATGGAGCATGGGTAGAATTCCCAGGAGGTTGATGCATGCAAGCCAGCCCAGCAAGAGCTTGACCCTTTGCAGGTTCTGCATTTCATTTTGGAAAAAGCAGATTGAATCTGTAGCAGCCACTTCTAAATAGTGTTGCTTCAGCAATCCGCAGGACAATCTGAATTTAACAGCAGAGATAGAGGCATGGAGATCGGGCCCAGCTTCCTCACAATACAGCTTTCCCAGGCAGATTTGGATTGTGAGATAAATGGGGGAGAAGGAAAGGAGCTAGCAGTTGACTCCACAAAGTCAAGGTTAACAGGCAAGGTGAGTCAGACAGCAACTGAGGACACAGGTGTCTTGCGTGTGGAGAGTGGTGGGGGGAGACACTGCAGGAAAAGGGGGTGGGGGAGAGCGAATTCCCAGACACTGGGAAACACCACCTGGCTGAACAGGCATTCCAATTGCATAACATCAAGGGCTCCCGTCTGGCTCACAAGCCCCATGACCCGCCCCGAGCATGGAGCCAAGACTGGGGAAAAAGGAGGGAGGAAGCGGCTTGTTCCAGTTTGGAATCAACTCTTCACATGGGCAGAAGCAACTCCCACAAATTATTACCTTGATTTATGCAGCTGGGTAACAGCTCTCATAGAAAATGCTTTCTATCACAACAAAACTGGGTAAGCTCCATTAAAGGCCTGTATTTTTTAAGTTTTTCATTCTGATCACAAGAAAGGAAAAGGGGGTGAGAAGGTGCTCATGACAGAAGCGTGAGATAGGGAGGGTGGGGAGCACTTTTAAGCTCCCCTAACATTTTCAAATAATAAATGACCCCCTCTAGCTGTTCTGATTTTGCAAAAATAAACCACCATAGAACTCCCATTCAAAAGGCTTTCTACCACCATGTGCCCCCAAGATGTCATTTTATCAGAAAACTGGCACAGGGCCCCAATCCATTAGAACCACATTTCAGGTTGGCAATGCTCGGTTCTCTCCACTCCCTTCAAATAGAGAGCAAGCAGCTTTTTTGAACAGGTAGTTTGGTGCTAGTCTTACCTGCAGCCTGATATTAATCATGTAGCCATCTCGGTAATCAGGCATCCTGTCCCATTTTGTATTTTGCACCTGATGATGTAGGTAACCTTCTTGGTGCCCAAATGTTCCTATTAATACTAACCGCATGGATTAGCTAGTGGAGCCTGAAAAAGACGGGAGGCTCCCGCTGCAGCTTTTTAGGGGTTCCCCAGAGATTACAAGGAAAATGTGCTTGCTGCCAAAACAGGACTTTGTTCCTGGGGGTATGGTGCCTCCTTCTGCCCGGTCGACCATTTGCAGCTGGCTCTTCCCTGCAGGCGTGGGGGTTACAACAATTATGCCAGCTATCTATTTCCTGGGACTGCAGGTGGCGCAGTGGTTTAAACCGCTGTGCTGCTGGGCTGGTAGATCGAACGGTCGCTGGTTCGAATCTGCACAATCCCATTGCTCCGTAGGAAATGGAGATGAGCACCGCCCCCTAGAGTCAGGCATGACTGGACTTAATGTCAAGGGGAAACCTTTACCTTTACCTTTATCTATTTCCTAAGCTGGGGTAAGGCAAGCCCAGTGATCTCCAGATTTCCCCCTGCCCTAGTCACTGGCTAGGACTTCTGTGAGTTGGCTGTCCCAGGCACAGAAGAGTTTGTGTGATACCATTCACGCCAAGAGAGTTTCCTCCAAAACTCAGAGCGATTTTAACATCATCTTTATTTTAAGTACAGTGCACAAATCTACACAAGCTTTTGCATAGCCCTTTAAAAAGAAAAATTGTGCAAGTTTACCCCTCTTCCCATTTCAAGAACTTTTTTTTTAAAGTTTTTGAGTAGTTTTCTTTGAGCAATACGCACTCCCTAGCTCCAGCACCTTCAAGATCTGAAATTTATTGCAGGAGGGAAACTGAGCAGAAGCTAGTCAATCCCACCAGGCCACTGCTAAGGAAAGACCTCCAGAGATCTGGAAAACTGAGAGAACAAGCCTGTTTCCTCTCAGGGCCAGGCTTCCTCCTCTCCCACTATATTTGAACTGCTATCAAGCTACCCTTGTTGGATTGATGCTACTGTTATGGAAAAGCTTAAACCAGAAAGCTGCTCTGTTGGTTTACAAAAATGATTCTGTGCACAGCATCAGCTTCCCATCTGTCGTGAGAGCACTGAGATAGAGTACTTTGCCCATGAGAAGAATGTGCGTAAGGACCTGCCACTATATGAATCCCCTAGATCCGGCGTAATTTTATTTCTCTCCTTGCATGCAGTCCCTTGCTTGAGAGCAGCTATTCATGAACCAAGGCACAAGAACTCAAGGCATCAAAGTTGAAGAGCGTATTCCATCCTCTTTCTCAAGCCAATTTTGGCAGTTTTCTCACCACAGAAAAATATGCCAGGGCAACAGGAAGTCTCCTCTTCTCCTCCCACTAAAAATGTAATGGACCTTCCATCCTGGAAAGGTTTGCAAAGTGTGAGCAATTCTTACAAGCCTCACGTATTTTGGAACCATTGCTGATTCCCTGTCTTCACTGGAAACAAAAACTATTCTCAGAGGACAGGTTTTTAGATATCCATGTCAAACTGCGCTTCCTCACCTGAAAAGGAGAAAAGGTATCAGTGAAATCCAAGTTGCACATATTAGCCAGATGTGGCTTATCGCTTACATCCTTGAAAGCAAAAGGTATATCTCTCTCTTCAAGTCACGCCATTCCATAACACAAAGGCTTGTGACAACTTTAAGACAAACAAACCCAAAGGTTGGCAGCCCATAATCTGTCAGCATTTCAGATTGGTTAAGAACAAACAGTTAAGTTCATACTTTTGATAAAGGTAGGTAAGTGGAAGAACAAGTCTAGGATTTTCTGAAGCTGCTTCCAGTGTTCCTTGCCTACTGGGAACAGAATGTTCTCTCAAAGGTTTTCCCTTGGCTACTGTTTCCAGCGATGTTTTGCTACGGTAATACAGTCACGAGAAGCAAACAAGCAAGAGGCCCTAAGCACATCTCCTTTGCTACATGAAACGACTTATCTCTGTTTGTTTGCTCTATCCTTAGAAGCTGCCAGGAGAGGGTCAAGGCCAAACCACAAGAGGCTTCCATGGAACAATACAGTATTTTCCAGTATAAGCCATAATGCAAGTTGCCTTAGGATTTGTAGCCTCTGCGTGGTGGGGAGCTGCCCCCTCTGGTCACCACCAGTGTGTCTCGGCCCACGGAAGCGTTGCTCGATCTCGATGTGCCACTTCAGAAACAATAAGGATTTATTTAAATCTCACAGGAGGCAAAGTCAGACAACTTCTCCCCTGACTCTTTTCAAGAGATAAATTAAATTCTTCAGTTAGTTTGCATACTGCCACAAATAATCCACATGAAACAGAAAAGGCAAGGTTTTTTTAGCCTAAAGGTTGTGCAGGGGAATATTTAGGGTGATGTCTGGCAGTTAAGGAAGGAAGGGTGACCCCACTTCTGCTACAATCTGGCACGAGGCTAAGAAAACGCCCTTCCATCCACATCCATAGACACCGAGGGCTCTTGGCACAGTTCTTGGACCAGCCCAGGTCCTGTGAAACAGTTCTGGGGCCAGGTCCCCATGGGCCTAGTTATAGAAACCAGAATGACTACAGTCAGGAGCAAGACAATTGCTAAGGGCTGCATAAGCACCAGACTTCAACATTCCCCTCTATATATGCAGGATTGAACTTCCCTTTGATGAAAGAAACCCACAGTGACAAAGACTGCAAGGTGAGAGCGGGGAGACTTCTGATGAAAGGATTCTGGCAGATAAGGGGAAATCCTGCATGAGCGCTGTGCTTAGATGAGCAGTTCCAGGACTGATTATGCTGTGTTCAGAGGCTGCTAAGCTTCCCACAATACATTCTAATGCTTCTATCCCAGGCCTGCACAATTTTGGACACGCCAGACACAATGCAGTCCACCAAACAGATGCAAGTCCTTGCAAAAGGATGGACTTTTCCACACTTCGCTGTGTTACAGCCTGGGAATGAACTGGTTGCAATTAGCGTCGTTACCACTTGATGTATTCAACGCTGGAAAGAAGCAACCATTTCTATTGTGGAACAAAAGCAAGCAAAAACAAAACGGCATTTCTTGGTTGCATAAGTATCCACACAGGTGGCCCTTGCTGCGCACACCTAAATACATGTAAAAATGGGGCTTGGTGCATCTGCAGCCGATGATTTTGCAAAGAGGTGGATCTGGGCTGCCCTCAGAACCTGCAATGCACAGCTGGCCATTTTCACGCTAGGGAGCTTCTCATTCGCACATTGGAGGTCCAATACGATTTTGTGGTTTAGCGCTATCATAGAACTAACTAACTTTGTTATCTTCTCGGTAGTGCCTTTTCCTCAAGGAATTACAGGCCTCCAGGTTTACCCGCTCAACAAGCTTGTAAAGCAGGTTAGGCTGTGAGGTAGTGACTGGCCGGGAACATTCAGGGAGAAACGCAAGCCGCCCGCCAGGTCTCCTTGAGCAGCAAAACATCCTGGCCAGCCATGGCTAAGTGGGTGGGTCGTCTCTGGCTGTGACACCTGACCGTTCCTCCTTTTGCAAGGAACCCAAGGTGGCTGACGCAGTTCTCCTCCATCTTATCTTATCCTCACAACCACAACGACCCTGTGAGGTAGGGCTGAGCTAAGCAGTGATCGGCCCAAAGTCGTCCACTGCGCTTCAAGGCTGAGTGGGTCCCCAGTCCAGCACTCTAACTGCCACACCACACTGCCTCTCTAACATGCTAACGTTTTTGTATTTTCTCTGAGTGTGTGGCATGCTGTAAGAGAAGTTGCTTGTGTTTGCATATGAGTTCTTTACCACAGAAGATACCTCACTCTTTTGCTTCTAGGAGAGCAGGGAAAGAGGCTTCCCATTAAAATATATGGTAGAAAAGTGTTTTTACATTATTACTGTGCGTGGACTCTAGTGTGCATATGCGCAAATACTGTAAGCAAGTTCAGTGCTGGGGGTAGAGTTTGCGTGGCTCTGCGATTTAATCCCCCCCCCTCCTTGCTTGCATGTAGGATCTTAAAGTTCATGCCCCTCCGTTCTTCCTTTCTGCATGACGGGTGCTGACTGCTGGGGATTCAAAATCCATTTTGCCTCCAGTGACTCCCCTTAGCTCAGCAGAGCAGAGAATGACTCACCTAAACCTGGTTTCTCCTCGTCAGCGTGGGTAAAGTCGGTCTCAGCCCTGAGTTCATCCACATTTGGACTTGTAACACCTGGAATGTCTGGAAGATCACATGGTGGAGTTCTGGCAACTGGAGAATTCCGGCACTCCATCAGAAATTTGCGGTCATAAATAATCCGTGTACCTGGAAAGAGAAGACATTCAGAAATCATGACTTCTGGCAGAGGCTTAAGGAACAACTTTTGGCTGAGAAGCAAATTCCAGAGGGAGAAGCTATATTATCATCAAGCTATATCAGGCCATGGGTTGTGCCTCATGGATTTCATGGTCTCAGGTATGCGTGATTCCCCTTGCCTCGCATGGTTTCATTCTGGCTTGTTTTCAAACCATAGTTTAAGTGAAACAACACCCCCACTGCAATCAGAGTTTGCATACTGCAAGGAACTGTGGTTAGTTTGAAAGCAGGAGCTTTTGATCTCCTCGGTGTGAAAAAGGAAGATAGGGAAGGCTGGTTGTATGAGTCATGAGCTTGCTGCAGCTTGCAGATGCGCCTGTGCTGACGGCAAACTGCAGTTCCCCTTTACATCTGAAGCTGGCCAAAATATCTGTCTGGACGGTGTTTGTCTGGGGCACACATTCAGTTTCACATTGGAATTGTAACCAATGCTACAATTGTGCAAGAGTGAACTGTGCACGACTGATAACAGTGTAACCTGGCCAATGCAGCGGAACATAAATTTAATAAATAAATCATATTTGTACAACCGTCCAATGCGGCCTGCATCCCCTCTGACCAGTATCAGCATGTTCCCTCTTGGAGCCCGGAGGAAAAGAAAGGGGCATGCTCAGATCTTCTTTCCCACGGTACAAACGCAGCACAGACGCAAAGCAAGGGATCATCCCCTGCTTCAATCTATAGCAGCAGCTTTCTTCCTATGCTGCAAGAAAGCATCCGGCATCTGACAAAGTAGATGCTGTTGTCATGCACTGTGGAAACATGGCCATCTGGGGACCTGGCTCCACTTCCATGCATGGCACAATGGTTTTGTCCAAGTTGGTCTCAGTTAATCAGTGTATTCTACTCTGTTTCTACATCTGTTTTCATATATATTCTTCCTAACATATAGAGAGAGAGATGCAAGCAGTACTATATCAAAGATTTTATAAAAACTTGTACCGGTTTTTCACTACCATGTACATTTCTGCATATATTGGTAGTGATACACATAGTGATACACATTTTTGTGTTCCTTCTTTCTGGCTCAGTGGATGGCAGTGTAAAATTCCAAGAGACACAAACCGACTGGCACGGCAAGTGTGGATCTGGGAAGTTGTTACCAAAATGCAAAGTGAACCAAATTCTCTCCTATCCCTACTTCCACTCCAGCCCATCACCCAATATTCTGTCTCCCACACATCCATCTCTAAGCTGTTTCAAGGCATCACCTCACAGCTTTTTCTGAGTAGCCTCACATCCTGCTAATATGCTCACAAAGATAGATCAGGACTCAAGCAGAAGGAAAGGCAGAGCAGTCGGAACAGCTGTACTATAACGATGTCTCAAAATTCCAGTATCTGTACCTGAAATAGCTGGACTGGGGATCAAATGTGACATGGACCTTCACCCAGTGCGCTCCTTCTCCATCATGAAAAATCTCAAGATGGGGCTGCTCCCCAACAGCATAGGAGGAGTATGGCCAGTTCACATGTAAGGAATAAAAGATCTAAATGTGTAGGGAGTGGTGCAAGATAGTGCAAATTAATTCTCTGAGACAGCACAAGGAAGCAAGTCCTTGGTAATTTGCTGGTAACGAGCAGCAAAACATAGATATAGGTTCTCAAGAGGAGCACAGATGTAATGCAAGAAAAATCACAGTATATTCCTCTGCTGCAGTGAGAAATGGGTTTATCTCTAATCTGAAAGACCCACACACGGGAATACCAGACAATTAACTGCTGGTTCAGCCATCGGCTTTCCTCCTTTCAGTAGGTTGCTTGCCTTTTTTTCCATTGCCTGTTATTTTTTCCTACTTCTGCACTTTAAGAGAAACAATTTTAACAGGCACCAACTCCTCAGGGAGTCATTTTTTAAAGCACACGACCTTTGAGAGGTGCATTTAATGATTAAATGACTAAATAAATTCTAATCAGCTCAAGTACTCTTAAAATATTTCAATGGCTTCCACCCTTTGACAATTTAGTGTCATTTGCCAAAATCAGGTCATGATGGAGTTTAATACCCAAAAAACAGTGGTTATTCCATTGCTAGAAAGGCCACCCCTTCTGGACAGGTGAAAGTTTGGCTGAAAAGGAAAACTATGTCTATGCAGTGGCTTATTCCCAAATCTTGCACATTCATGACCAGGCAGGAAAAGGAGTCTTCCAAACGTTTTAAGATATAAATACAAAAAGGAGCCAATTGAATCTTATTTCAGGGCTTAAGGTTAATAACTCAGGAAGAGCAGTTGTAAGCCAGATCCTTGAGGTCTCCAATTTGAGCCTTGCCTTGGACTTCGCTACATCACATTCCACATGAGGAAAAAGTTGTAAACACACACACAAAGAGATACACATACTTATTTGGAACCCTGCAGGAGAAAAGGCAGTATTGGTGTTTGATTTGGAGTAAGGCAGCAAGAGAAACGGTGCTTCTCATCTGCTCCGTCTCAACCCTGAATCATCTCCCACTATGGAAACAGCTTGTTTTTTGGGCTATTACTTCACACATCAGTATGTAGCATGAAGCTGGACTCTCAGCCAGAAATTACTTGGTGGTCTTCAGCAAACCACGGTTTCTAAAGACTCCTTGTAATAGTAAACTCAGAAAGTGAATAGCAATAGGACTGTGGCCAAAAGAGGAGCAGAGAGAAAAAGAGAGGTATCAGCAGTAGAACCACAGAATAATAAGAGTTGGAAGGAGCCCAGAAGGCCATCGGGTCCAATCCCTGCTACTGCAGACACCAAGTTACACCATCCCTTCTTGAATGGCTGTCCAGTTGCATCTAGAAGGCCTCTAGTGTGGGACAGCCTGCGACCTCCCTAGGTATTGGTTCCATCATCATACTGCTCTAACAGTGAGGAAGTTCTTCCTGACGTTCAGCTGAAATGTGGCTTCCCGTAACTTGAGCCCATTATTCTGTGTCCTGCACTCTGGGATGACTGAGAAGAGATCCAGGCCTTCCTGTGCGTGACAACCTTTCAAGTACTTGCAGAAGTAGTTTGGAGAAGTTCCATGTCCAAACAACCCCATGGAGAAGCAGGTAGGGTGGGGAAGAGATTTTGCAAAGACTGGGCTCATGCAGAACAATGTGCTCTGAACGTTCGAAAGCAGGAGATGAGAAAGCTGGTCTTCCGGATGATGTTGGCTTTCAATTCCCATCAGTCCCAGCAACTGCAGCCAAGGACTGAGGTGACAGGATCTGTAGTGTAGCCATATCTGGATAACCACTGGTTCTCTCTACCCATTCTAAACCCCAAAATCTGGATAGCACCAGGTTGGAGAAGGCTGTTCTATATTCCTGTTAAGTAGATTTGCAGCTCATGGAACCAGGTGAAGAAGTTCACCCTATGTGCACTTCAAGTTGCATCATGGATCTATCCCACCACCACCCCTGCCAAAAAAAAAAAAAAATGCATGTGGTATTGGGAAGGACTTTCCAATATTTGTTTTTGAGAAACCTGTGCTAACCTATTTTTCAGATTGCTGTCAGAATTTCAAAGCTGGCTAGCCTTCAAGGGGGCAGTAATTAAACTGGCTCAGCCACCAGTTCAGGCCTACGCCCAACATTAAACAGCCATTAATCAAGGTTTGCTGAGAGTACAAGCTTTGTCAGTCATTACAGCTGCCAACTCCTGAAACACTTGCAAAACAACACCAGTTTTCCTAGAAGCGGCGTCAGTGTACCAGTTATTATGGGGACATTTCATAACGGGTTCACTGAAGGACTGCAATGCTGGGTTTACATTCAGTCAGTCACATGCCCAGACATCCCATCTACTAAGCCAGTGACAAATCAGAGAGCACCATGGCTTGGCCATATAAAAAATGAGCTGGGGGGAATTTCTGTGGATTACCTTCTATGGTATCTGACTATTTTCACTTTTGAGGAATAAATGCCATCTCCACTCCATCTGTTTTCTAAATTCCTGACTGCTCCTTAAGGCGAGAACCCTTCAGGCATACCCAATAAGATTTCTGTCTGGGGCAGCAGATTCGACCCCCGAGTTATACTGAAATCTTTCCAGACTTCACACCAGTGTTGTGCAATGTGAACACATGTATGGACTAGACACAGGCAAGGAATTTAGATAGTAGGTGCAACTTTAGGTTTCTAGTCCTCATGGCTGCCAGAATGTGCATGAATCATGTCTGGTTCAGCTTCTGAACCTGAGACAAGTAGAACAGGATATCCTGTGGAGAGGAACTTAGTGCCCTGCAGTGTACCAAAGCTGCAAAAACTTTCTCTGATGTGAAAGTTTGCTTAATTTGTATTACTTTTCAGGAAGCAGAATCCAGCTTTTCCTGATACTGATTTGGGGTTCTCATTAACCTATCCAGCAGCTTAATATATAGCCAGTCCAGTGAGCCTCCTGTTTTGCTACGTATTTTTTCTACTGTTACGGATATCAAGGTGGTGCACCATTAGCATGCAGCTACAAACTACAGGAGAAATAATACAGTGATCATAAAGGGTGAAAAATATAGCAAAAGTTTTAACCTGCTGCTGTAAGGACTGCTGTGTCAGTGCCAGTAGCGCTCATTATGGAGATGGCACTCTGTTATCAGAGAATTATAACCAAGAAGGCCTCTCCTTATTTCAGGCAATGTGTTGCGGTACTCTGAAAAGAGCCTTGTTCAAGACACCCAGAGGGAACCAGCATGGGGAGGACTGATGCTCCCTCCTACCTCACCCTACAAGATGCAGCCTAACCTAATACAACATTCCAAAAATGATTGTGCTTTAGGCTTGTCTGTATCAACAGCATCTGTGGTGTTGGTCTACTTTGGCCTATGTGCAGGCACTTCAACCAAGGGTCACTTGTACTGTTCCGCTACCTTATTTTCTACTTCTGATGGACTGAGGCTTCTCTGAGCGAGACACATCTTTCTCGGGGTCCCAGCATCTGCGATAAATGACGCACCGAGATCCAGAAGTGGTGTTGGCAGGAGTCCTGCCACAACATGAGCGTATAACGGAAAGATTGTGCACTGCTTGCGGGGTGAAACAGCGCATTCCCTGTCTGACACGATAAAGGCCATGTCCCTCTGCTTCTTGTCCTCACTTCCCCAGGCTGAGCTCTGTCGCAATCGCCAACTACAGTTGCAGCAAGGTCAGCTCTTTCATTTGCATCCGTGAGGCAGTTCTCCATATAAAGCTTCTATCAGAAAGTCAAAGGTTAGAGTTGTTGACACACACGGGAGGGAGTAAATGAACTCCTATCTCTGTCCATGTCGGGATTCAGAAGAGTGTGGCAGTGGGGTCAAGGTCACCTCTTTGGCCCTGGCTATAAACAAAATATCACTTGCAGGCAACTCAACAGCCTGAGATTTACTATCTTCTGACACCCCAAGTTCTCATTCTGCAGGCTGACTGCATGGCTTTCCATCTGTGGTTGTTCCACGTGGAAACTTGCAAGCAATTACATGCTGAACCGCCTATTTTTCAACACCCATTCTGTTTCATTTTTCTTTTACCAAAGCTCTCCAATCCTCCCCGTTTGTGCACTGCTTTCAGACACTAGGCTGGGATATGATATCGAAAACATGCACACAAGACTGACTGCAAGTACATTGCTTTGGCGCTCTTTCCGTGGAAATGAACACTGTCTGCTGGCTTAGGACAGTGGGAAGAGGTCTGGCAGGTCTCTGGGTGAACTGCAGCAGATTGCCAAGATTACAGACTCCCTTTTATTGAACGGTGTGGAGAAGCAGGAAGAGTGCTTTGACCCCAAATTACACAGCTGGAAGAAGCAAGACTGGGGTAACCGGAAGTGGATTTGCAAGTGGAAGGACTGTGAGCTCCAGTTCCAGTATTCACACAGATCCCTGCAATAAGAAAAAATCTTTAATTCTAAGTGCGTCTTTTACACCAGTGGATGTTTGGGCTCTAGTAAAAAGTAAACGTGATTCTGCACATTCAACACCTCGTAGTTTTCACCAAGCATCTTTTCCCATAGCTTACTATTCTAGTTCTCCTCCCATTTAGTTATCATTAACTCAAGACTGTGCAATGAGTATATGTATGGAGAAAAGCACACAGTTTAAATGCATTCTGCCCCCCCCCCCCATGTGAAGACAGGCTTACATTTTGGGGAAAGGGTAGAGATGCCATTAAATGAAAGCTGCTATACACAATACATTGCGTCTCTATTCACAAAGGGCAGGAACGCAACCAATAGGTTTCAGCTATGCATTCTCCACACCCACAAATAAACAGCGTCAAGCATCTGATAAGCCAGACATGAACTCTGCAACTGTCTACACCAGAGTGTTTTCCATGCTGGAAATCTGGAGTGCAGAAGCAACTCCATTTCTTATTGGCAGGAGAAAGCACTGCCTTCTACCTGTGTAGATTTTTTTACTTATTGTCCTGCGTTTCCTTTTAATAACTCAAAGCCACTTACATCCTCTTCCACCTGCTCTCAGACTTGTCCCCACAACAACAACCTCATGAGGTAGGCTTGGCTGAGAGTCCATGACTGGCCCAAAGTCACCCAGTTGGCTCCATGGCTGAGCGGGGACTAGAACCCGGATCGCCTGAGTTCCAGTCCCACGCTCTTAACCACTACACCACACTGGCTCTCCTAAGGAAGTATGTGCCAGTTCATATTGCAAAGAAAGTTAGATATGCAGAGAAATCTGAAGAGTTACAGAAGCAGCTCAGATTCACCCATTCAAGTGGGTAAAAGTTTATGTTCCTTGAACATATTTATTCATTTAGAAAATTTCTATGCTGCCCCATTCGCCGAAGCCTCGGGGCGGCTCACAAAACATCAATTAAAATATAATACATTAAAAATATAAAACGAATTAACAATATAAAATAAGTCGCCCTGGCCAAAGAATAAAATAAGGAAATAATATTAGCAATTAAAATGACATTTGAATAAAAAGGTCTTCGCCTGGCACTGAAAAACAAATAATGAACATATCAAAGTCTAAGATACCTGCTTTATTTCATGTGTCTCTACATACTTCCAAACACACATTGTGAAGCAGCCCAGGTGGCTGCAACAGAATCATACTCAATGCAAAATAGGGGTAGGAGCATCTCTTCCCCACTTCCTGTCTGCAGCTTTGATTCTGCACATCTAACATTGATCCTTGACCTGTGTGGCCAGCAGGTGTGGGGAAATAAACAGCATGCAACAGCAACAAAGTATATTGAAAAGGAAATCCTAAACTGCATTGTGCTTTCTTTTCTCAGGTCTCTTCCCTGACCCATGTCTTGCTTAAAAGAGTCAAAGGAATGCAGAAACCTTCTCACAAAAGACCATACCCAGACATTCCATTTTGTCTTTTCTGCCTAACATTTTTAACACAGTGAAAACAGCAAGCACGGAATACTTTTTAGACAGACTTATTTCAGTTGGCAAGACCATACAGGTTTTTAAGTTTGGCTGCACAGGAACCACAAACATTTGTGCACTGACGGCTATCAGTCAAATAAAAAGAACGGCTTACTCTTCTTCTGCATGCCTAGGTCTCTTGGACTTGCACAGCAAAAAGGCTACTGGACAGTGAAACAACTTTTATTCAAACACCAGCTACTGGAACAATTGCATCAGACATTCTAATTAAATGTTCTCCACATTGAGAATCTCTCTACTTTTGGTTCCAAGAATGTATGAAGTTATGGCTATTGACACTCCGCCCAGTAATGGTTACAGATTGGGAGAGATGACAGTTTGAAGGCGGTTCACATTTCAGACTTTAATCCTGTTGTGGATGTTTCAGCAGCCTTTCATGAACCTTTGGAAAATCTATTCACCGTCTTGCACACCAGACTCTTCTTCTTCTTTCTGCAGCCAAACGTAATTACCCTTGTGCATTCAGAATTGCTGCCATTTGCTGCCAGCACCTTGTGGTTTCATATCTGCTAACCCCACACAAAGGAAAATCACCCCTTTTCCGGACACTCTTCGATATACCTTAATCCCACAAATCACACCCTCTACACTGCACTAAATAGACAGTAGTTCCAAAAAAGTTGCACACATAAATTACAACACTAATCCCCACCCCTTTGTTCTCACAAGCAGATGTGGTCCATGTGTGGTAATCTGCTATGAGTCTGCAGCTCACAGACAAACTAAACTCACTATACTTGGTGGGACATGATCCCCAACAACAGCATTGAAATTCGGGCTGCAACTCTTTCTGAGAAAGGAACTGGGACAAAGCACAATGCCAGGGTATTTCCCACCCCAATGGCTCATGCAATCCCGAGCACACTGCAACTGGAGCATGCACCAGTTGCTCCTCCCTGCTCACCCCCAAAACACACTGCAATTCTGACTTCTCAACTTGGCTCCTCTTGCACCTCAGCCCCACAAAGACCAAACCTGGATGCAACCCAAGCACAGGCAGTGTGGTGCTCCTGCCTTCTCCAGCAGTGAAAGCCACCCTGCTCAAGGGACCTGTTCTCTGGTCCTAAACACAGGCCTCTCTCTATTGGGTATTCGCCGAGCACATTCTGTATAGTTTGCAGTCAGTAGCTTCAGCTATTCATGTAGGTTTTTCTGTACTGCAAGTCAGGGATAGAAACCTTCCAACCAGCTGCTCATTCTACAGCACACTCTATTCAAAAGAAAACAAGCAGAATATTGTTGTGATGTCCCATGCCTGATTGCTTGTGTTGGGGGTTATGTGCTCGCCCAAGGTAACTCTGAAATCATCCCCTGCCAATGATTTCTCTCACTTAAACGTGCAGAGGAGCACCTGGTGGCTGGGAAATGCTGGGAGTGGTGGGCCTTTCTCTTGTCTAAACATGCACAGGAGCGCACTGGAAGTGCTCACCATCTGTATTTCATGCAGTGCCAAGGTTCAAGCCTGACAGTAATTACTATTCACAGATCCATGCCCCATACACATATTTAGGGCTGAATGCAGATTTGGCCAACATCAATTTGTAGCAGTTGCATCAGAGAACCGGCAAGAGAAAGAAAGACTTGCACCTTCCCACCACCACAGCCATTATCCAAATCCCACCTTTCCCATCAGCTGCTTTCAGAAAAATAGCAAGACAGCAAAAACCTTGCCAGATCTCCCATATCAGGAATACTCTGGTCCTCCATGGTATGGGATAAGGCAATATACCACCCAGGCAGATGATTCTTCTTCCCTACCATGGCCCTTTGGTCCAACTGTTTACATTTCTTCCCTTCTGTAGGCACCAATATACTTGTGAACTAAAGCCTGCTGTTAAGTACCTGCACCCATGTGCCTGAGAGTGGACTTCATTCCATGAAAGCATTTCCCATAATAAATGGGGGGGGGATTATAAGTCATTCTAGTGGTAACACCCCTTGAAAAGCTGCTCTAGCATTCATTCTACATTAATTAAAAATAACCAGGTCTGAAACTAGCCTCACATTTATTCTACTATTCACCCCCAGGCTCTCTCGTGGTTTCAGTTCCCACTCCAGACTCAAGCATTTACTCTCAGAAATGAGAGGGGCAGGAACGGGCTCAGGCCAGACTGCTCGAGCCGCTGCGCAAGCAAGGCGTGCGCAAAGCCACAGCCCTGCGCACATGCCCCGAGGCACCGCAGCGGTCGTGCAGGCAGGCAGGCAGGCAGGCAGGCAGGCAGGCAGGCAGGCGAGGAGTCTCCGCACAGCGAGCCCCCCTCAAACGCAAGCGCCCACGGGCAGCCCGGAGGGGCCCAAGCTGCTCTGTGGGAGCCGAGAAGGACCCCCGCGTTACGCCAGCTCACCGGCTGAGCCACCCCTCCACGACCGCCGGCCTCAGAGCCCGAGCCCAGCTCAGAGGTGCAAGCGCCTTCCCGGAGCCGCGCTGTGCGGTGCCCGCCCCGGAGCGCACGGCCACCGTTTTCCCTGCACACGGGCGAAATGCTCTTGCAACGCTCTCGCCAGCGCAATCCCCGCCGCCCCTCCCGCGCTCACCGCCCGGTGTGGTTCCGAACACGGTGCCGCCGGGCGTGGTGCTATAGTCCCCGGGGGGCAGCGCGACTCCCTCGGGCAGGTTGAGCCGCTTGGCGAGGCCGGGGATATCCCTGCCCAGCGTCGGCCCCGGAGCGGGGTGAGGACGGCAGCAGTCGGCGGCGGACATGGCTTCTCGCGCTGCGCTCGACCGCGAGGCTGGCTGCGCGCAACGCCCCCGCCGGCCGCGCGCTCCCTCTCCGGCCGCCGCGGCCGCCGCCCCCGCCCGCCCCTTGGTTTTCGACCGCGCAAAGCACGGCGGGAGCTGTAGTCCTGCGGGGGGGGGAGGTAGTTCGCCTCTCGGGGCGGTGGTGCTGCTCGTCTACCTCCCCGCTTCGTTGCGAGGATGGTGGAGAGGAGGAGAACCTTGTAAGCCTCCTGGGGTTTCTTGCAAGAGGAAGACAGACACGGTGTAAATGCAAGGCAGCACCCTGGTCGTCCAAAGCCCCCGGAGCTCCCCTGGCCCTCCCCGCACGCTGGCTGCAGCAACCGCCGGGACTGCGACTGGGACTCTTTCGCAACCCTACGTGGGAATGATCCTGGGAGATACCCCAAGCAACACACGTGCTCTACCGCGGCGCTTTTGCTGTTGCTAGGGGCCGTCTTCTTCAGTGAGCCGAGCAATCGCATGATGTTCCCAAAGCACGACAACTTTAGTTTTGGTATTTTTGCTTCCGGAGATAGCTCTAATTTTATTTGCTCCAGGGCCCCCGTGTTTGTCCTTCTGTCGGTCCAGGGCATTCGCAAAGCTCTCACTCAGCACCATGTTGGATAAGGCATCAGTTTTCTTTATGTTAGCTTTCTTCCGCACCCGTACACAGTGAACCACCAAGCTGGGATGCGTTACAGTCAAAACAAAGGAACCGATTAGAGCGAACTTGGGCCTACCCTGCTGTGATGCCGTCCGAAGAGGTGGAATGAACTGCAGGCGCTCTCTGCCCGCAAGATGGAGGTTTAAATTTGCATTCCTTTCTGCACAAGACCCCCTTTAAAGGACCAAACAGTTGGTGCCTATCTGAGCCCCGAATTTCCTTGTATTCTCAGTGGAAGTGCATCCTTCTGCACTCACTTCTGTATGTTCTGCACGGGCGATCGCTCCTGTTTTCCTGCGTGTTTCCATGTTGAATTCTTACAACGAGTAAAAACATCGTCACAGCCACTGTGGCTGGGTGGAGCGTGCTGGCGTTGAAGGATGCTTTCATGTCTAAGCACGCATAAGATCGCTCCCTTAGCTAATTAAAAGTCATTAGATGAACAAACTGAGGCTGCAGTCCCGGGTTTAAGCCGACTGAGCCTGGTGGGTACTGCTTCTGTGTAGAAATATATAAGATTGCAGGTTAAGGGTGCAATTTATGTACACTTAACCTGGAAGTAAACCTTGCTGAACTTCGTGCGCTTTACATCAGAATAAACAGCATAGGCCTGTTAGGGTGGACACTTGGATAGTGCCTAAAGAGAGGACAAAGGTTAACCAAAATTGTCTGTTTATGCATCCATCCATTCAAAGCATTTTTATAGCACTCTTCAGAAGAGCCCCAGGGTGCTTGCAGGAACCAGTAATTAAGAAGTCTCTTCCCTCAGGAGCATAATAAAAAGTATAGAAAGACACCTGATGCAAGGAAGGACTCGGCAGGCGAGAGGAAAATAAGAGTGCTTGATGGATGAGCAGACGGATGAGAATATGAGCATTCTGAACCAGTCGGACCCAGTGTCATGGATTTGTCAAGGCAACAAAAATACCTTGTTTTTGAGCTGATTTTGCTCTCTTGGACTTGCTGGGAAGAATTTTGAGAAAAGCTAACCTCTCTCTCTTAAAATAATATAGGATGTCTTATTCTGAAATGCAAATACCAGCAGTTTCATTATGAATAGCTAAGAAAGTGAAAATGTCATTAAGTAAAAAGTAATGATTGTATTAAAGGGAAGACTGTGCAAAGCCAGAAGTAGGTTCATAATGGATTCTGAGTGACTGGCATTAATGATAATGGACAAGAGGACCTGGAAGGTATCCAAAGAGAAAATTATGACTTAAAGACTTAAGCACTCGGACAAAGTAACAAACAGGTGTAAAACTGTATCATTGCAGCTCTAAAGTGTGCTTAGAGTTTTTGTTTATTGATTAATGAACAATAACATTGTATAAATTCGACATGCAGGTGTTTAGAAAAAATAAAAGTTTCTTTTTTATGGGCATCTCTTGAGTGCAGAGAGAAGGACAAGGGACAATTTTACATCCTTTGCCGAAGCAAAGGAAGATGGGCTGAGGCCCTGCCAGGTTTTCTCATGTCCTGGCGGAGCCTCCCCCCTCTTACCTCCCCAAAAAATCCTCCCCCAGCACTGGCTTTGGAGCTGCCCTAGTTGGGAAGGCAAAGGGAGGGCTTGACCCTCTGTCAGAGTTCCAGAGCTGGGACTGTGACCTGTGCCCTTGGCAAATTTTGAGTAAGGGTTATCTTCTCAAAAGTAGATATCAGACATGATTTTATCTAGCCTAAAAGGTGTATGTGCAAGCCCATTTTGTATGTTCTAATTGTTTAAGTATGTTTAATAACAATGGGATGACTGATGCTGGGCACCCTAATTTATAGGACATAGATGGTATTAATTTTGTGGTAATTTCAATGCAGAAAAGGTACAATATTGCTGATTTTACACTGTAGGAGCTTCTTATTAGAAACCCACCATAGCTTATTTATTATTGAATGGAGAATTTAGTATGTTGAATAAGTACTCCTTTCTTAAGCTATTTGGACTAGAAGCCTAAAAACAGGAAATGTTTAAGAAATACTATTTCCTGTTAAGAGCTCTGATACTTTGAGCCCAGTCTTATCAATTGCATCTTTAGTACCTGAACTTCTAGGCTTGGAGCATCCATTGCTGAGTGGGAGGAATGGCTGTTGATGTTTCCTTGCAGCTACTGCTTTGAGTTTTAGCTAGATAACGGCTTTGGAACATCTAGCTAAGGTGCTGCAGAGAGAGAGAAAAGGAGACTGCGGTGCTGCCAGGGTGCCTCCTGTCCTGGTCATCCTGGCCCCTAACCCTTCCCCTCCTCACCCCCTTGACTTCCTCTCCAATATCAATTTTCCAACCTCAGCAAGACAGCCAAAACTTCTTTTTGCATCTTGTTTGAGGGTGGGAGGGCATCACACTTGTGAATCCCAGGCTCTGACGCTGAGCTTTGTCTTTGACCTTGGATCTAGGAATCTGAATTATCCTAGGCCTAATAGTCACTGCCTAAATGCTGCAGCATCTCCTCTGTTTAACAGCACAAATGTTTGTTTTCATATGCTGATATTCTGCTACAAGTAAATTTCTAATTAAAAATAAAAAAGTTCAAAAGATATTCCCCTTACGACTTACTAAAAATCCAGAGTCAAATCCACTTGTTTGGTGTACACTTTGTTGGAAGTATATTAATCAAATATGAGTCATTTTTCTCCCTAATACTGGAACCTGGCATCATCCTATTAAACAAGTTGGTAGAAGATTTGGGACACTTCTTCACATAAGGCGTAGTTAAACCATGGAGCTGACTTCCGTAAGAGGTGGTAATGTTCACAAATTTGGCTGAGTTTAAAATGGCATTGGACAAATTACTGGAGGAGAAGGCTATGAATAGCTGCCGACCCTGATGGCTGCATGCTCCCTCCAGGATCTGAGGCAGTATGGCTATGTACTCCCCATGCTGGGGAACATGGGCAGGGTGGTGCTGTTGCACTCACGTCCTGCTTGTGGCTCCCTGGGTGAGAATGTGGCGAAGAGGCCCCCTGGATCTGACCCGGCAGGACTCTTCTGATCATGTGACCGGATCCTCCACTGGGGACTGCTGCTTGTCCCAGTGTGGCAGTTCTCAGCAAGGAAGCACTGCAATGCGTGCTGTTCACCCACAGGGAATTCGAGGAGGCCCCTACTGGGCTCTGCAAACCACTGTTCTGGAATTTGAAAATGAAGGGCCCGACAGCTGCAGCATCATTCGTCCACTCGCCCTTAGGCCAGCCTTCCCCACCCTGGTATCTTGATAATTTAGGCCTCAGCTCCCAGCGTTGCTGACCATTGGCCATTCTGGCTCAGGCTGATGAGAGCTGAAGTCCAAGACTTCTAGAAGGCACCAAGCTGGAAAAGGCTGCCCTGAATATTATGAACCAGTCATTAAGGGCCCCTCTCCTTGGGTTTCCCTTGGTGGTCTTGGCTGATCATCACACTTCCACAAGCAAGGATGTTGGGTCCTTGATATGTTCATTTAATAAATGAACACATCTTGCAACTTGTTTCTTGCTTAAGACATGGGGTTTAATTTATATAAATTAAAATTAAAATTTAATTTATAGTGTAGCCGTTTTTGTCCTATCAGCTGTTCTATATCTCACACTTTTATTGTGACTTTACCAGGGCATAATATTTGTTCTCATCATTGCTCATAAAATGTAATTGCACCATCTCTTTCCTGTCATGCGTTTGTAATCCTTTCTTCTCTTCCGCTTAATCTTTCACTACGCCACACAATCAGACTGAAGACTGCCAAGAATTTCTTTGAAACATGGGCTGTGGCGGCATCATATGATGATGGGTGCAAAGATGCTCTTGTGCTCATGTGCTGCCCGTTGGATCTTTGCAGACAACTAGATGGCCACTGTGTAAACAGAATGTTAGATTAATGCCCCAGGTCTAATCCAAACGGAATTTTTATGTGTTCTTATGAATTTTGCCCCACTCTGCTTTATTTTATTTTGAGTTCTGTGAGCTTGAGGATCTGTTGACACAGACCACAGAAACATCATCATCTATAAACCTTTTAGTCCAACCTGGGTATGCATTTTCAAAGTAGTACCTGGACATAGCCAGAAGGCTGATGCATCATAAGATGTCATCCTGTGACCATCTTTTTCTCTTTTTAATTTTTGCAAACTCTGTACTGCCCCAAGCCCCAGTGAGCCAGTTGAGGGCTCCTCGGTAGGTCCTTGCTGCCCGGAACCAGTTTCTTTTAAAAGCTTTCTGACGGGGTAGGTGGCCTGGTTTGCCCAATGAAATCCTGAGCCAGGACCTTTCCTGGGTGGCCTTCAGAACCACTTGTAAAACTCGTGCAGTGTGAGATTTTGTACCTTTCCCTTCCCCTTGCCTCCTCCTTTTTCCTTCACTGTAGAGGCATGGCAGAAACAGGTATTTGAGACCTG